CTTCACCAAAATGGCTGTGCATAGCCTTAGGAGCCTTCCAGAGTGCTCCTGGGGGCTGGGGAGGGCAGAAATGAGCAAAAATTGGCCCTTTTTTGCTCAATTTCCCCCCCCCCAGCCCCTAGGAGCACTCTATAAGCTTCCTAAAGGTTATCCATGCCCTTTTTTTGACACAAAACAGGCCCATTTTTTGCTTGTTTTTCACACACCCCAGGAGCACTCTACAAGCCTCCTAAGGGCTATTCATGCCCTTTTAAAAGGGGGGCAGCGTTTTTGCAAAAAATGGGCCGTTTTGGGGGGGTTGCAGAATGCAAAAACTTTTTTTTTAATTTGCCTCTTCAAAACCTTGGTGCGTCTTATACTCCGAAAGATATGATACACAAAATACAAGGAATTATTTCTTTTTTTAAATGGCATAGTTCCGCTGGATGTCTTTAAAGTCTAATACTGTAAAAGAAAACTTTCCCACACTGTACATTATTTTAAATGCCTCTGTTAAGTTTCCCCATCAATCTCTTTTTTTTCCTGAAACAAAAATAGTGTTAGGACCTCAGGAGAGTACACTTTTTTTTAAGCAGTCCACTGACTCAAATCTGAACCCTAAATAACCTTCCATTTGTTGCCAAAATTAATTGTCAGTTTTATTTCTGGAAATCCTGCTGTCTCTAAGACCTCCTACCCAATTTTTCCCCTGCTAAGAAAGAGAGGTTATCAGCATTCTCCTTCGGCATTCCACGTGGAATCTTTCAAAAATAAAGTCAGGAATCAGGTCCAGATTGACAGGTGAAAAGACCATGATACCCAGAGCGCTTGAGGTTCAAATTTGAGGAATTTGAATTCCACAAATTCCCCGAATTCCACCGACATGCTTGAAATAACAAACTTGTAACAGAGGCTGAGGGACGCAGTGGCTAAGTCGCTGAGCTTGTCCATCAGAAAGTTGGGCAGTTTGGTGGTTTGAATCCCTAGCGCCACGCAACCGAGTGAGCTCCCGTTACTTATCCCGGCTTCTGCCAACGTAGCAGTTCAAAAGCACGTAAAAAATGCAAGTAGGAAAATAGGACCCACCTTTGGTGGGAAGGTAACAGCGTTCCATGAGCCTTTGGCATTTAGTCATGCTGGCCCCATGACGACAGAGACATCTTCGGACAGCACTGGCTCTTCAGCTTTGAAATGGAGATGAGCACCGCTCCCTAGAGCTGGAAACAACGAGCACATATGTGCGAGGGGACCTTTTACCTTGATCTTTTTAACTGAGGCTCAATATGCAAATGGATTTGCAGCTGCTGAGACTCCGTTCTTCTTTCGTGACAGGTATTTTGGAGAGCATTTGGGATAAATACAGTGTTACGGCCGCCACCCCACCACCATCTCCGACGTCTAGAGAAAGTGGTAAAATCTTGCGCCACCCTTTCTTTCTCTTTCTGTTCGGTGTCCGTACAGGTAGTCCTCACCTTACAATCACTTGCTTAGCGGCCATTCAAAATTTACAACACTACTGAAGAAAGGGACTTACGACCAGTCCTCACGCTTACAACGGTCACAGTTAACGTTATCACAATTCGGGTGCTTGGCAACCGACATGTATTTACAAAGTTTGCAGCATGCCCGGGATTACGTGATCGCCCATTGGCGGCTTTCCGGCTAGCTTCCTCCAAGCAAAGTCAACGGGAGAAGCTGGGTTTGCTTAATGACCACATGGGGATTGAAGTCCACATACCTGAGAGTTGCCAAGGTGGAGAAACCCTGCATTAGGGAGTCACGTTGCCTTTGCTACTTCTCCGAGGAAACTTTCTAATGACTTCCAATGCCTGATGTCTTTATCAACCGGCAAGAGCAGCTCATCAGTGCTAAGAAGCCTAAATCAGGGTGCAATTCTTCACGTTAATTAAACCCACCCTAGGAAATTGCAATGGCTTGCTGTCTCATTAGCACAGATTGCTCCTCACACAGACAGACAGCAAAGGGCTCCTGCCTGATATTTTGGTTGCGCAGTTTTACTGTATTCTTCAGAGTATAAGATGCACCTTTTCCCCCCAAAAAAGAGGGGGGAAATCTGGGTGCATCTTATACACTGAATACAGCATTTTTGGCCTCCCGAAACCCCGCCTCCTTCACCAAAATGGCCATGCAGAGCATTTAGGAGGCTTAAAGAGTGCTCTCGGGGGCTGGGGAGGGCAGCAATGAGCAAAAAATGGGCTGTATTTTGCTCAATTTTGCCCCCAGCCTCCATGAGGACTCTATAAGCCTCCTAAAGGCTATGCATACCCTTTGTTTTGACAAAAAGGGCCATTTTTTGCTAGTCCCCCCCCCCCCAGGAGCACTCTACAAGCCTCCTAAAGGCTATTTATGCCCTTTAAAAAAAACAGGTCCTTTTTCGTGAAAAACGGGCCATTTTTGGGAGGTCTACAGAGTGCAAAACCTTTTTTTAAAACTTGCCTCTTCAGAATCTTGGTGCTTCTTATACTCTGAAAAATACGGTAATTAGGGGAGATCAGGAGCTCCCTTGGGAAACATGAGATGGGTGATGATTAGGCTGACTCTGCAAACCGCTTGGTGGGGGCTGTAAAGCACCGTGAAGCATTATATAAGTCTTGTGCTATTGCCATATTGTTGGCAAGTCTTAGCATGACTGGGCTTACCTGTGCACATGTCCTTTTCCCTCTACAGGTGATCTCTTGAGTAGCCTGTTGCAGAGTCCCAGTGCAGCCAAATTACTCAACCAGCCAATCCCCGTCCTCGACTCAGAGAGCGAATATGTTTGTTCCCTGGCTCTGGAGTGCCTCGCCCACCTCTTCAGCTGGATCCCTCTGTCGACTAGCATCACCCCATCCCTCCTCACCACCATCTTCCACTTCGCCCGCTTCGGCTGCGACACCCGCGTCAGGAAGATGTCCTCCCTCAACGGCAGCAGCCAGAACGCCTCCTCGAGTCACGAACGCGGCCAGCTGGGCGTGCTGGCTATGTCTTGCATCAACGAACTCATGTCCAAGAACTGTGTGCCTGTGGAATTCGAGGAGTACTTGCTCCGGATGTTCCAACAGACCTTCTACCTCCTCCAGAAGATCACCAAGGAGAACAACGCCCATTCGGTGAAAAGCCGGCTAGAGCAGCTGGACGAGAGGTAAGGCCGGACGATGCCAAGCCCAACCGCTCTTCTTGTTTTAACTTCAAGAATAACCTTTGCCGATGACTTGTTATGCATGGTGTGTCTAATCGCCTTTTTTCAGAGCCCCGGGATGGAGGCGGGGGAAACAGCCTGGTAAGTGTGACCCAGGTACGTGGCCGCGGGGCGGTCGGCTTGGCAGAAACGAGTTTGGGGTGGCCTAGGAGTCGTGTTTCTTCTCCCCCCCCCCAACCCCTCCCCCCCCCCCCATTCATTACAGTTTGGCTGCTGCTCTGAGGCGGTTCAAGATCTCAATTTGCCTCCATTTGGTTGTGGCTGTAAGCAGCCGAAGAGACCCGGTGAGGTAAAGGGATATTCGTGGTTTCCTGGTTGGCATCTTCCTTCGGAAGGAAGGGATGGAGGGGTCTGGTTTTAAGGGAATAGAAGAGATCTTAGGTCCGTGATGGAAAACCCATGGCACACCTGCCGGAAGTGGCATGCAGAGCCATCTCTCCAGCCACACCGGCCGTCGCCCATTGCTCTTCCGGGTTCCGATGCACACGTGCGCACCAGCCAGCTGGTCTTTGTGCCCATGGGAGTGCCAGAAACTGGAAGAGCCGCTCCCTAGCACACAGGTGCATGCCAGGAAGCTGAGCTTCCAGTTTCCAGCAAAGCACATGCGTGCCAGCCAGCTGGTTTTCACACGTGCATGCGTGCCTGAAACTGGAACCATGCATGCCAGGTGCGTGCGTGCACACACTGGAAATTGGAAGCTCAGCTTCCCGACACACACATGCTCGCCGGGGAACTGCTCTTCCATTTCCCAGCACTCCCGTTTCAGCACTCGGTGCCGAAAAAGTTCACCAACACTGCCTTAGGTCCTTCCCCAAATGGGGTGGTCTCCTGAGGGGCTGCGTTGGCTAAAGGCCGTGGGAGATGCAGTCAGTTCTTCTCTGGGAGAGCCTCTTGACGAAAGGAAGGAAAGAATTTTAGTGTTTTTTCTTTTCTTTTCAAAGTGTTGTTGGAACAACTTCAGGTAGGGTAGTAGTTGGAATGAATTTAGCTGCTTGGAAATAAATTGCATCAGACACATTCCAAAAGCAGATTCTATTCTTTATTTCTGATTTCCTTCGGGAGTGGTGCGGTAGCCTAGAGGTGAAGCTTTCACCTCCCAATCAGAAGACTGTGAGTTCGATCCTAGGTAGAGGCAGATATTTCTAATCTGGGTACACTTAACCAGCATACACCTGAAAGTTGCCAAGGTTGAAAAACACTCATTTGTAAAGGGCAGAAACCTTTGCACACACAACAATTCACCACAACTTTCCTATGGTCACCGTTATCCCTCCAGAAACAAGCAACATCGTCAAATAAACTGCGCCATAGCAATTCCTGTACAGCCCTCAAGTTTTATTGTATAGAAACCATCTTGTCTTCCTTCCCTAGTCCCAGATATCAATTCCCCCTCTCCTTTCCCCCAAGACGTAGGCCTCACAAAGAGGAGTGAAATTTCTCTCTCTGGGCACACTTAGAATATATCTGCTGAACAAAACTCTGCATTGGCGACAGGAAGGGCATCTGGCCAGGAAACACTCAGCTGCATTCAGTTGCCCTGACACCACCCTGCAAGGGATTATGGGGTTGTTAAAAGATGATGATTTCTGATTTCCTTCTCCTTGCCAATGCCTTTTTAAAGCAAGCGTCCCTTTGACCAGATTCTGCCTGGATTTCTGGGTTTTTTTTCTTTTCTTTTGTTCTTGCAGACTCCATCCGAAAAGCCTCGGGGCTTGTTTTGACAGCCCTTGAGGGAAAGGGCCTAAAGCACAAAGGACACATTTTAGGTTTTTGGCAAGCGTTGTTGAAATGGAGGTTGGCAGGAGCGGCTGCAGAATGCAGCCCTCGCATTTTATGCTGATGTGCTGGGCAGCCCATCTGTCGTAGCTGGCAGGAAGGAAAAATTCTGTCTGCAGACGAATGTCACTTTCTTTTTTAAAAAAACAACAACCACAAAATAAACCAAAAACTCTTAGAAAGAAGCTGGGGTAGACTGTTGTCCTTGAGAGAGAACGATTTTTCTTTAAGATATGTGAGTGACTTGAGGACACCAGTCAGATCTTAGCGATACCCAGTCAATCTCTTATTAATTCTCATCTCTGGACCAAGTTTTTTTCTCAACCTTGGCCATTTTGAGATCTGTAGATATCCAAGTCCCAGAATTCCACAAACAACCATGCTCCGATGGGAATTCTGGGAGCTGAAGTCCAGGTGTCCTGGAAATTGAAGTTCACAAACACTGCTTTGGACCTTCTAACTAACCTCTTGGAGGCTGGGTATGGAATTCTGGGAGTCCAGACATCTCTAGCCAAGGTTGAGAAACACTGCGCTGGACCTTCTAACCGCTGGACCCCTATGTGATGTCTTCACGCCATATTTCTTTTCTAGAATTTTTTCCTACTCCAGAGAAGGGGGGGGAGCTGATATTGAGTGAAATATGTGTTAAACCTGGATGGTTGCCCTAGCAACTACAGCTGCAGTGGATTGGCTGAAGGCAGTGCTAAAGTGGGAGGAAAAAACAGGATGAGTTTCAATAAAATAGAATAGAATGGAATAGAATAGAATGGATAGGAATAGAAATAGAAATAATATAAATGGAATGGATAGGAATAAAAATAGGAATGGAATGGAATGGATAGGAATAGAAATAGAATAGAAAAGAATAGAATTCTTTATTGGCCAAGTGTGATTGGACATACAAGACATCGTCTTGGAAGGAATCTTCGGCCGGGCACATCTGGCAGAGGTTCCTTCGGGGATGGCGGAGAGGGGGCAGTTTGGATGGGCTTGCGCGGTCTTTCGGGGCTTTTTGCTTTCCGAGCTTCCCACCCACCAGACAGAGCGAGAGTCTCCAAACTTGGCAACTTTTAAGACTTGGGGACTTCAACTCCCAGAATTCCCCAGCCAGCAAGTTTGGACACCCATGTTCCAGAGCAGGTGCAGGTGCGTTGGATATTGCTGAGGATAGAATAGAATTAGAATAAGAATTAGAATAAGGATTGGAATTAGAATAAGAATTAGAATAAGAATTAGAATAAGAATTAGAATAAGGAATAGAATAAGAATTAGAATTAGGAATAGAATTAGGAATAGGAATAAATAGGAATAGAATAGAATAGAGTATGGAATAGAATAGAAAATAGAATAGAATAGAAAAGAATTCTTTATTGGCCAAGTGTGATTGGACACACAAGGAATTTGTCTTTGGTGCATAAGCTCTCAGTGTACGTAAAATAAAAGATACATTCGTCACGAACCATAAGGGACAACACTTAATGATAGGATACAAATAAGCAATCAAATCATACTAGGAAACAATTAATATAAATTGTAAAGATACAAGCAACAAAGTTACAGTCATAGAGTTGTAAGTGAGAGGAAATGGGGGATAGGAATAATGAGAAGACTAATAGTGACTTCCGGTTTGCTCGTTGGATTGTTTTTCGTCCTCCGGATTCTTCAGGGAAGCCTCCTGAAGATCCCTGAAGGCTCTGGAGGACGAAAAACGACTCAACAAACAAACCAGAAGTCACTTGGGGGGGGGGGGGGATCATGCATTGCATTATGGGTGTGGCACGCCCACGCATGACCTCCCCTGTGCTCCCCACGCTTATGGCACACGAGCCAAAAAAGTTCACCATCGCTGGTATACAGTATTGGTGTCAAATCAATGCAAATTTATGACGATCGGGTCTAGCTTTGGAAAGTGAAAATATGGGAATTGCTTAATTAAAAAAAAGTTCTACGTTGTGGCACTTTAAATTTTGTGAGTGGACTGAGCACAGCTGAAAACCTGGAAGCTGTATGTTTTGCTTTGCTTTTTTTGCATATTTACTTTGCATAACTAGAATTTTCATAAAGCTCTTGATAGCCCATCAGTTCTGCTTTACAGACCGAATAAATGTTTAGGGTGACAGCTTTGTTTCTTCAGTACCTCAGCATTGTATCCTACTAACAATGGGTTGGCTTTATGAAAGGAGACCCAGTTTTTAGATAATTATTTATATCACCGGTTATTATTTTAAAAAGAAGGCCGTTTACATTCATGCTTAACGTAACACAATATCTAGACTAGCATTCTCCTGGGAACTTGTAGTTTGCTAGAAGGCAATCATGGCTTTCAAACCGCCCTCTGATCAGTGTAGAAACTGCTTTTGCAGCATAGGTTCAGAGTTGAACAGAATTCTTAACTGATCCAATTTCTCCATCCAACAGCGAGAATGGTGAAATGCATAAACCAGGGGTGTCAAACTCGATTTCATTGAGGGCTACATCAGGGATGTGTTTGACTTCCGGGGTGGGTGGGCGGGGAATGGAGTAGGCCTGGCCAGCTCAACGTCACTTGTGTTGGGGGCACCTGTAGCAGCCCGAGCACTCTGCCAGAGGAAACGGGCTCCCGAGCTCCGTTTCGGCTGCAACAGCCTCCTGCAACCCTCTGCCAGCGAAAACGGAGCTCGGGAGGGACTGTGGGCCAGTCCTTCGCTGTTTCCAGGGTGGTCCCGCAGGCCAGATCTAAGCACCCTGCAGGCTGGATCCAGGCCCTGGGCCTTGAGTTTGACACCCCTGGCATAAACCATTAAGGAGGTTTCATTGTGGAAGCTCTTAGCTTGAACAAGCACTAAGTCTTTTTCTGCTGTTTCAGGTAATAATGGAAGGCAGGGTTTCCCGCTGCGTAGGTAATGACCGTAGAGCTTTCATTCAATTGTTAAAAAATGACGATGAATCTGTTTATCTTTTCAAAGAGCAATCAAGTGGCTTTTTTTAATTCCTTATTCTTTGTTGCTTCTTAGCCATCACCCCCTTGGCTTACTCGGGTTCCTTCCTCTTTCTCTTGCAGCTACATAGAGAAGTTTACTGACTTTCTACGCCTTTTTGTGAGTGTCCACTTGAGAAGGATTGAGTCCTACTCGCAGTTCCCTGTGGTTGAATTCCTTGCACTGCTGTTCAAATACACATTTCATCAGGTACTCACTCCTTTAAAATTGGCAGCTCTGTTCCTGTGTTGTAACTGCTATCTTGCATACAAATGTATTTCTGTGAAGGTGCAAAACTATTTTCTGTGTATTTTGGCTCAGCAGTTCTGCATGAGGAACTCTTGATTATTTTTTTCCTGTTTCATTTATTAACCTTGCATTTCAAAATAGAGCCTGTCTTGGATTGTGGATTGTCCTCTGCGAAACCTGTATGTATTTTTTTCCCACCTTGGAGAAGATCTATGTACAGGTGGTCCTCAACTTACAACAGTTCAACTGCAATGGTCATTTAGTGACCACTCGAAGTTATAACGGTTCTGAAAAAAGCAACTTGTGATTGTTTTTCACACTTAACAACCATTGCAGTATTCCTATAGTCACGTGATCAAAATTCAGGTGCTTGGCAACTGATTTATCTTTATGTCAATTGCATGTGGTCATATGATTATTTTGGGGTGATCTTCTGACAAAGTGTCATGATCCCGACTAATGAACCCAAGCAAATCAGAACTTTGAGGCTGAGGTCTTCCTCTAAGAACTTCTTTATTGGGTACATTATATCGTCACAATCAAATGGAAAACCAACTCTAAATGTTTCCCGCTGTTTCCATATAATTAAAAGAGGAAATAACTCCCTCCCCAAAAATCACAGATCAAGTTGGCCAATTAGATTAATTGGCGGGCTCTCCAGGCACTCCTCCCTGTCTCTATCCACCACCTGTAGAGATGACCTTGGTTCCTACGAGAAAGCTCTGTGTTTTGTCTAGCAATGCATTCCATCCTCCTTCCCCCACTCTGTGGCAATAGAGGAATAGAAAAAAATGACTGCTGCCAGGTTAGATTCAAAGTTGACACAAAGTCATTGGGAAAGCTAGATTCATTTAACAACCAGGTTACTAAGTAAATAACTGCAGGGATTCCCTTAACAACCGCAGCAAGAAAAGTCATAAAATGGGGGAAAATTCACTCAGCCAATGTTTCACTTAGCATCAAAAATGTTGGGCTCAATTGGGGTCGTACGTTGAGGACTACCTGTAGACACCAAGAGTCAACCCTTGGCATATAGCAATAGCAATAGCAGTTAGACTTATATACCGCTTCATAGGGCTTTCAGCCTTCTCTAAGCGGTTTACAGAGTC